GACCAGCCTGTAAGCACACAACCCTCACACATGTAATACCTGCCTCCCCCACCAGCTCATCCTGTCTGTACACCAGCCTGTAAGCACACACCCCTCACACATGTAATACCTGCCTCCCCCACCAGCTCATCCTGTCTGTACACCAGCCTGTAAGCACACACCCCTCACACATGTAATACCTGCCTCCCCCACCAGCTCATCCTGTCTGTACACCAGCCTGTAAGCACACACCCCTCACACATGTAATACCTGCCTCCCCCACCAGCTCATCCTGTCTGTACACCAGCCTGTAAGCACACACCCCTCACACATGTAATACCTGCCTCCCCCACCAGCTCATCCTGTCTGTACACCAGCCTGTAAGCACACAACCCTCACACATGTAATACCTGCCTCCCCCACCAGCTCATCCTGTCTGTACACCAGCCTGTAAGCACACAACCCTCACACATGTAATACCTGCCTCCCCCACCAGCTCATCCTGTCTGTACACCAGCCTACAAGAATATTAGTTTCATGGAACTATAGATGAAAGCAGCAGAGATTTACCACTAACCTGATTATCCGACGCCAACACTGAGGTTAGACTGACATGACATGACACACGATGACGTGACATGACACACGATGACGTGACATGACACACGATGACGTGACATGACACACGGTGACATTACATGACACACCGTGACATGACACACGATGACGTGACATGACACATGATGACGTGACATGACACACGGTGATGTGACATGACACACGGTGACGTGACATGACACACGGTGACGTGACATGACACACGGTGACATGACATGACACATGATGACATAACATGACACATGATGACATGACATGACATTCAATGACAAAAGGAAAAATTAAGGACTTTCAAGGACAAAGACAAAATTCAAGGACTTTCAAGGTAAACGTTTAACGCAACTACGCACTTAATCTCGTCCATGGTCTGCAGCTCTTGCTCCAGCGGCGTCAGGTTGGTTGCCCCGGCAATAGTCGCAGACGTCAGCAGCAGAGAGGAGCGGCTGACCAGCTGCTGAGACTTGTGTCTCGTGTGAAGCGCCACGCTACTCTTCTGCCAATCAACACACGGAGATGCAGATGCTGTAGTATCTACTCCAATGACGCGACACGCTGGCAGTCAGTGCCAGACTTACGTGACGAGAGAATTCAAGGCGCCAAATGCCATATTTGTAAGATTTATTGATTGGATTTTGAATGGAAAATTGTTAGAATTTTGCATTTGATTCGCACATGCACGCACAGATGTGCATACTCAATTTTACAAAACTGTTGCCTGTATACTGCCATTTCTTACAATTAAACCTGGTATCCATAGCAACACTTGCTCACCTTCTCCACAGTTCCTCCCCCTCCCCCTCCTACTCCAAATCCTCCGAAACCCCCGAAGCCATCCTGCTTGGGAGCATCTGTCTTTTCTCGTTCCATCTTCTCCTTGAAGGCCAGAAGCTTCTCTGTCGTGTACTCGAGCTTCCTGTGTGGAAAGAAGGCATCATCATCATCACAGACATGCCAACATTCAATGAAGCCAAAGAGTAATGATTTCTAAATTCCTGGTTTTGACAAACGCCGCAGGCAAAATTTTGAAACTTAGATGCTCTGTGGTGCATTCTGGAGCCATCTGTGGCACTTTCAGCATTGATTTAAATTAGACAAAATGATGTTTTTCTGCCTGAAAATAGTGGGGAAAATCAAGAATTATTTCAGAGATTTATCAAACGAGAACTAAATTTTATTACAGTAAACTTGTGCATACACCCACAATCATAGGGAACATTAATGGATCAGGATACCCTGATTATGTTATCTTTCTTATTGACTCAATAGTGATTACATAGTAACACAAAATATCTCAGATCTCTGCTAAACAAAAAAAATGACTATACATGTACTATAAACACTTTCACAAAAATGTGTCAGTTCTCTAGATCTGCTGAAGAAATAAATGAAAAGTTTGCTGAAGAAATAAATGACTATACAATGTACATGTAGTGTACTACAAACTCTTTCACAAAGATTCACAGTTCTCTGCTGTAGTTTCACCCCCGGCATTCCAATCACGGTTGCGTGTCTTGAAGTTACCTGCCAATTCAAGGTACGTGTCCTGTAGTTAACCTTGCAATCACAA